ATACTGCACGTATTATTACCGTGCATATGCAACAACAAAAGCCCCTTGCATGCAATATGCATGCATGTATACAAAGATGCTGCACGTATTACCGCACATGCATGCATAAAAAGCCCCGAAAACTTTTGCATGCATGCATGCACACAAAGCCCCATGCATGAATTATACAGTGGGGCTGTTGGTATTAAAGATACAACGATGTGTCTTATTTAAATAAGAAAAACACCACCATATTAATGACAAGAAACACACTACTCCCTGCTGCTGCTGCTGCTGCAGCTGCAGCTGTTGCTGCTGCTTTTGCTGCTGCTTTTTTTTTTATTTTTTTGGTGCTGCATTCTCTATACAGAAGGCAGTTCTTTAATTGAGTCATGAGCGGTTGCTGCTGCAGCAGGAGCTGCAGTTGCTGCTGCTGCTGCTGCTGCTACAGACGGTGCTGCTTCTCTTTTTGCGGGTGCTGCAAATTTTGCAGGTTCCGCATGCTGCTGCTGGAGTTGCTGCAGCTCGTGCTGCTGCTGCTGCAGTTCATTATTATCTTCTTTGCTACCATTGTCTTGTTCCCTTGATAACAAAGTAGGCATAGGAGGAAGAAGGGAAGAAGGAGGAGCAGCAGCAGCATTAAGTAGATGACGTAGCCTCTTATAATGAGGCTCAGGAGAAGCATTAAATGCAGGATTACCTCCTGCTGCTGTTGCTGTTGCTGCCGCTGCTGCTGCTGCAGCGGCTGCAGTTGCTGCTGCAGCTGATGTAGCTGCAGCAGCAGATGATGTTTGCTGTCTGCATCTCTTGTTTGCGGTTCCCGAAGAGCTTTTGCTGCCGCTGCTGCTGCTATTATTATTGTTGCTGCTGTTGCTGCTGCAGAATGCTAGTAGGGGCCCCCTTTCGCTGTCTTGAGACAGGGCCCCCCCTCCTGCGTCGTCCCATATAGTTGCATCAAGAGGCTGAGGAGGGGAGCAGCAATTCTCATCTGTCTCTTGGCAGCTTGCTGCTGCAGCAGCAACTGCTGCCTTAATAGATTTAACTAAGGGTGCATCTGCTGCTGCAGCAGGAGGAGGTCCTGCTGCTGTGTCTCCTGCTTCCTCAATACACGACCGTATAGATCGGGACAATACACACTCTAATGCCTCATGTATAGGGGGACTAACATCAAGCAGCAACCTGTTGTTGCTGCTGTTGTTGCTGCTGTTGCTGTTGTTGCTGCTGCTATGATGATGATGCGACCCTGTTACGCATGCCGCATCCCTACCTAACCCACAATCTGCTGCTGTCCCTAAGGGACTCCTGTTGAGTCCTGCTGCTGCAGCAGCTGCAGCAGCAGCAGCAGCAGCAGCAGCAGAATTTTTTGTTTTAGAGTGTCTAGGTTCATGTATAGATAGTGAATGATTAGGGTTTGAATTAGAAGCTACAGCAGCAGCTGCAGCAGCAGCCGCAGCAGCAGCTGCAGCAGCAGCAGCAGATCTTTCTCCATCCCTCTCAGCAAGTAAATTTTCCTTAAATCTTAATGCATTTAATTGTGCCTCCTCTACACTCTTATAATTTTTTATATAAAAAGACTTACTATGCTTCGATCCATCACTCGTTTTCCATTGAGCCATAAATCTATTTTGGCTTCGATCAAAAGTGATGCTTCCAGATACGACACGTAGACGCTGCTGCTGCTGTGGTAGCTGTAATTGTTGTTGTTGTTGCTGCTGCTGCTGTTGTTGTTGTTGCTGCTGGTGCTGGTGTTGCTGCTGATGTTGCTGCTGGTGTTGTTGCTGGTGATGATGATGATGGTGCTGCTGCATATGATTATTATGATTATTATTTTGTTGGTGGTGATTCGTTGTGCTCGTTGTTGTTGTAGGGTGGTGGAGGGAGGAAAAGGATGGGGATTGTCCTGATGATACTACTGATGCGGGTAAATAACCACCGTTGCTGCTGCTCATTGTACTTGTACTGCTGCTGTTGCTGTTGTTGCTGCTGTTGCTGTTGCTGCTGTTATTACTGCTGTTATTACTGCTGCATTTGTGACCCAAACGACGCAATTCTTCGGCTGTTGCTGTTGCTGTTGCAGCAGCTGCTGCTGCTGCGGCTGCGGCGGCAGCAGCTGCTGGAAGCCTACGACCTTCCCCAGATCCATGGGGGCCCCCCTTCCCCTTCGTACTAACACCCCTTGTACGTCCTGAGGACCCTCGGGGGCCCCCATTAAAACTCCATTCGGAGCTGGAGGAAGCAGCAGATCTCTTTGTCTTAAGCTTGCGCGGCATACCCGGATGGGAAGCTGCGGTGCTGCTGCTGCTGTTGCTGCTGTTGTTGCTGCCGTTGCTGCTGTTGTGGGAAGACGCCGCGCTGCCGTTGCACTTCACGTCTTGCAACAAACTAAGGGCCTTAAGGGTACCATCCCCTAATAGGGTACGAGCAGATGCGGGGCCCTTTAAGCCTAAGGAGGCCCCTCCTAGCAAATCAGTATCAACAATACTTTGTAAGGGCAGCAGCGGCTGCTGCAGCGCAGCAGCAAGAGCACCTTTAGCTGATGGTGCTGCTTCAAGACTAGCAAGGAGACTGCATATCTCTGCTGCTGCTGCTGCTGTTGCTTGTGCTGCACTGGCGGCGTTTGGCGTTGCAGGAGGCAATGCTGCTACCAGAGGGCCAGCAGCAGCTGCAGCTGCAGCTGCTGCCGTTGCGTCTCCTCCTTGAGGTGCTTCTGTTTTGTGCTGCATGCGCTTTGTAACACGCACTGCTTGCTGCTGCGTCTCGTCTCTCCCTCCATACTTGCTGCAGCCAAAGTTTTTGCTGCTGCTGCTGTTCTTCCCCTGGTTCTTCCATAGAGCTACCCAGCTGTCTTGTGTAGCATCAAAGGAGACACTTGGCGACCCTGAAGGAGACAGCAAATCACCCATTGGGCTTCCACACACTTGCGGTGCTGCTGCAGCAGCAGCAGCTGCTGCTGCTGCACCGGTGCCACCCGCAGCAGCAAGATCTAGACCTGCAGCAGCAACCTCTTGCGATGCGGCTTCTGAACCCCACAACGAGCTGCTGGTGCTTCTTGTTATCAGTGGCGCTGCAGCAGCAACAGCTGTGTCCGGCTTGACCCCTCCTGCAGCAGCAGCAGCAGGGTACTCCATAAGAGCAGCAAGAGGGTAGGAAGCACAGCGTTTTGCCATGCTGTTGCCTTCCTGCAGTTGCTGCTGCAGTTGTTGCTGCAGTTGTTGCTGCAATTGTTGCTGCAGTTGTTGCTGCAGCTGCTGCTGTAACTGCAGTTGCTGCTGGATTTGGTGCTGTTGCTGCTGCAGCTGCTGCTGCTGCTGCAGCGGAGAGGAACAGACGTCAGCTATTGCCTGGGCCCCTAATGCCCGCAGCAACTCGGAGGTTGTCTCCACAGACCCCTTCTTGTCTCTAGCAGCAAAAGAGGAGACAGTTGCTGCAGGTGTCCCTAGGAGGTGTTGTTTGTCTCCGTTTGCTGCAGGCCCAACAGCAGCAGCAGGAGTAGGGAAAGGAGCACTAGGAGGTAAAGGAGACCCACATACAAAGTCCCCGCAGCCACGGGAGACACCCCGTACGTCAGCCCCCTTTACACCAGCAGCAGCAGCAGCAGCAGACATTAAACCTTCTGTCTCCGATGCTGCCTCTAAAGAACGGATTGTTGGGCTGCATAGAAGGGACGGTACGGGGGTTGCTGTTGCAGATGCTGCTGCTGCTGCTGTTGCTGCTGCTGCTGCAGCAGCATCGACCGACAAGCCTCGGCACTCCTCGCCCAACCGTCGACCGCGCAGTCCTGCTGCTGCAGCTGCAGGACCCTCTGCTGCTGCTGTGGACGCATCTCCAGCAGCAGCAACTGCAGCAGCAGCGGTCTTGTTATTTGCTGCTTCGTATAGCAGCTGCAGTGCAGCAACTGCTTCCTCAATAACAGGTTGTGGCAGTCTCCTTAATAGATCATGGGGTTTCTCCTCCGGCAGCAGCAGGGACCCTTCTGCTGCAGCAGCAAGCAGCAAAGAGGGTGCTGCATGCACCGCATGCAGCAGCAGCTTCCCTAGTATAACATGCGAGTAAATATGCAGCTGAGGGGGGGCCTGAGCAGCTAATATGTTGTTATAATGGTGTATATACACCGGAGAACGCGACAGCAGCGGCAGCAGTTTGCTGCTGCTGCTGCTGCTGCTGCCAGCTAGATGGATGCTAAATAATGCCTCTAGCAGCTCGCAGCAAAGCTGCTGCAGCGCAGCAAAAGAAGGAGGAGGATAAGGAAGGAGACACTTTTGAAGGCGCTGCAGAGGGGACAACCCCACATTGTCCAATGCCAAACATGTGCTGCTGCTGCTGCTGCTGCTGTTGCAGCTGCTGCTGTTTTTGCTGCTGCTCTTGCTGCTGGTATGATTCTCCACCGCAGAACCCTCGGTCGTCGGTATCTGTGTATGACTTGCTGCACCTGCACCTGCTGCACCTGTTGCTGTTGCTGCAGCAGCAGCAGCAGCAGCAGCAGGTGTATCCTTACGGCAAACAAGATTTAATGCAGAGAGAAGGTTGCTGCATCTAGCAGCATTAAGTGGGCCCTGGCTGCATGCAGCTGGCAGCAAATGCTGAAAGGCGTAGATGTAGGCCTCCATATCTGCGAAGCTTGACGCCTTACTTATACGTTCAATATGCTGCGCTATGGATGCAGCAGTTGCTGCTGCTGCTGCTGCTGCTGCAGCAGTTGGAGGAGACGGACTACCCCCAGGGCTGCTGCTGCTGCTGCCGCTGTTGCAGCCAGAACCAAGACTCTGTATCAACTCTATTAGGACAGCCTGTGTTGAGGAGAGGGCACTGTTGTTTGCTGCTGTTGGTGGGGTGTCCGTAGCAGCAGCTGCTGCTGCTGCTGCCGCAGCAGCAGCAGCAGGTTCAGCTTCTTGAGACATTGTTGTATTCCCTACAGGAGGGACAGAAGAGGGACTATGAGCAGCAGGAGGGATATCTGCTGCTTCTGCTGCTAAGGGTGTTGTTGCTGCAGTAGAGCTCGATGCCTGTGCTGCAGTAGGGGAGTTAAGAGCAGCTAAGGCAAGAGAATTGTCTCCTTGGGGCCCCCCTGAGGGGACCTTCCCTGCTGCTGCTGCTGCTGCTGCTGCTATGGGAAGTGTCTCCGATAGATCTTGGGTTGGAGGAGACAGTACATTGTCTCCACCTTTAACATTGACGGGACCCGCTGCAGCAGTAAGCGAGCAGCAAGCAGGAGGAGACACTTTGGGGCTGCTGCTGCTGCTGCTGCTGCTGTTGCTGCTGCCTTTGCATGCGCTGCTGTCTCCTTCTGGCAGCAACTCCCTTAGACATCCACCATTAGAGTAAGAGCCTAAAAAGGGACTCAAAGAGAGACAGTCCCCGCAGCTGCTTCCAACACCTGCAGCAGGTGCAGCAGCAGCAGCAGTGGATGCTGCTGCTGTTCCTGCTGCTGCTGCAGCAGAGCCCCCAGCTGCTGCATCTAAGACATCTGATGTATAGCCAATATTACCCATATCTGCAGGGGAGGAGACAGCAACGGAGACAGTTGTCTCCTTAGTAGATAAAGGTCCCTCTCCCTTCCTTAATGATGAATGCCATAGTGTCTCTAACACTTGCGGAGAACATAAAGAAGAACCCTCATTGCTGCTGCTGCTGCTGTTGCTGCTGCTGCTGCTGGTTGTGATTGTAGAGGGAGCAGGAGATGTACCCCCAGGTGCTGCTGCTGCAGCAGGCTGCTGTAAATCGGGTTGCGAAGCCATAGTTGACCACTAGGGAGCAGCAGCAGCAGCAGGAAGACCAGCAGGAAGAGCAGCAAGAGCAGCAGCAGCAGAAGACAGGAGACCACAGCACAAGTCGGTAGGGGGTGTCTCTCTCTTATGTATACCTGTGTTTGTCTCTGTCTAAGGGAGACAAAAGAGAGACACTTGTGCTGCTGCTGTATAAGCAGCAAAAGACTTGTAAGGCCTGAGTGTAAGTAATATAAGGAATAAGCAGCAAAGGAAGCAGCAGCAGCAGCCGCAGGAGACAAAAGGAGACAAGAAAGGGGGAGGCAGCACAGGAGTTATAAAGTGCTGCTTAAATAGAAAAGAGGGAGGAAGAGAAGAGGTGTTAAAAGGAGAAAACCTAAAGAATAAAAACAAGGACCTGAAGGAGGAATAGTTGATTAGTTGGCCTGCTGCAGCAGCAGGGAGCAGACGATCCCGCGGCGGAGCGGCTGCTGCTGCTGCTGCTGCTGCTGCTGTTGTTGCAGGTATAATTTGGATGTCTAAGGAGGTATATGGGGTTTAAAAGAAGAAAAATAAAAGAATTAAATCATAAAATATATATTTATACAGGACGGCAAAGGAGAATTCCCCTGAAGACGCCGAACTGCATAGAGAAGGGAGGCTTTTTCTTTAGGCCATTGGCAGCAGACACACCAAGGAGGGTCTTTCTTAAGGCCTCCCTTCTTGTTATCAAGGGGAGAAGAAGATAAAATAACTCTTTATTAATAAACTAAACAACAAACAGGACAAGAAAACATGGAGGAGGAGGGGAGAAAGCGCAAGGGGTCATCGCAGGCAGCAAACGAACCGCAAGAAGAGGGAAGGTGAACAAGAGGTTGTTAATAAGTGGCGGGGGAGAAGAAAGGAGGCAAAACACAGACAAATGGGGGCTTGTTATAACCCTTATAAATATTTCTTTTTTATTATTTATTCAAGCGACAAATACAAAAGAAAGAAGGACTCATTTAAGCCAAGAAGGAACCAAGAACAGAGACTGGCAGCCGCTTTATCTCCTCCACATTGCCTGGAGAGTGTATGTGTATAGGATATACACGCGTGTCTGGCAACCCCTGCCGCCCTCTATGGCACCCTGTTTAACAACTTTTCTCATCCCTTCTTTATTTTTTACCCCTTAAAAAACATTTATTTTACTTTTAATAACCCTATTTCCAACAATATACAAGAAACACCCCTTAAACCTGCCGCCGACGCTGCCGCGCCGTTCCCCGACCCCACCGCAAACAAACACCCCCCCTCCCAGCATCTCCCTTCTCGGCACCGCCAACCGCCCTTCAAAAAAACACAAAGAAATTAAATTCATCATTTCAATTAAATTATTTATAAATACAAACTCTCTCTGCAAAGGAAGAACTTCTAACGCCTTTTTCCTCCCTCTCACACCTACCACGCCACGACCAGCACAGCCAACAACTACTCATGTCTGTAGCACCGCTCCACTACACCCCGTTCCTAATGGCGTACCAACGGAAGCCGCACAAGGGTAACAATGCTGGCCAACTAAAAAACATAATATTGCTTTTTAGCGAAGGATTAGGAAGATTTTTCTCACCCCCTAATTGCCAAAATTTCCTCCAGATTCTAGCGGGGGTACTTACCCTAGCCTGTCTAGCAAGATCTGTCAGAGGTCGGCAAATCCAGCTAAGCAGGTACTTAAGTAATTACCTGGGAATTACAGAAAAGCAACAGTACTAGAGTTCTCCACTAGATTTGTAGCATAGTCTGTCCACCATTGCTACATCTGTCAATATAGTGCGCACATTCGCTCCTCGAAGCCAAGCCACTCCCTAGCAGCATATAATAAGACTGTCAGTGCACGCAACGGAAGCAAGCGTGGATATGCTCAAAACTGGGGTTGCCCTGCGCCACGTATTGCAGCACAACTTGTTGCGATTCCTGCTCTAACGAGGCTCCTCGATCTTGACACATGATCATCGTGAACACCACGAGTTTCTAAAACCCAGCAGAATTGTCATGCATTCTCCTTGTCTCACTGGCTCAGTTGCCTAATTTTGTGGTGTTAATTCGATTGACTATGATGAGCTGCAACGCACTTAGCTGCAACGCTGTCACGGAAGCAAGTGAACTGAAGCCCCACCAGACGTGCTCGGTTTGCATTAGGCAGCCTGAAAGCAAGTAGGAGTAAATGCTCCAACTCCACATACCCAATGCTACTCTACTCCTTCGTTTCCTCCCCGATCCAACGTAAACCCTCATGTAGCTGGTTCCGTATCAGGAGATAAGTGGGTCAAGAGGAGAGCTCCTGCCGCGCTTACTGCTGCTGCAGACAGTATGGCTGCTGCTGTTCAATCGGCTCATCTTGCACGGTTTCTGTCCCGTTCCTTGCTTTCTCAACTCTTGCTGCTGCGTCTATTGCGGTAGCAGACCTTGCTGCTTTATCTCTTTCTGCCGCATCACAGCGACAAAGAGGGGGGCTCCTCCCACATTTGCACAAAAGTCTTGCATTTGACTCAGTATTCAGCAACATACATTCGTTTTGCCTTTTCTCTGGAGCATTCGTCTTCAGATGTAAATTTTGTTGTGCTCGTATCTTTCTCAGTCCCCTTGCTCGCCTCGGTTCTGTGCTACGTGTGTTGGTTGTGCTTTTGCCTCGGCTGGTGGTCACCTCATCACTTTGGCTGCATCAGCAAATTTACTTTATCCTGCAGCCAGCCTCTTCGAGTCATTTTAGGAGTACTCTGTTGTCGCTCATGTGGTTATTGGATTCGGTCTGCTCTGTCGGAGCTGGCATACACCTAAACCCAGTCAGCAGAGTCCCTCATACAAAGGGAGATGCAACTAGTGGGCACTGCCCCGACGAAACACAAGGGGACAATATCACCGACAACAGGCAGAAAACTCTCAACACCAATGCCAGAGGTGGGCAGACCCTGAAAGCGGTCGGCGGCATCTGATCTTTTGCTGCATTGTGACTTTGTATTGATAGTATTGAATGCGTGGGAAGGTGCGTTATCTCCTATACTTGCCCTTTACTAACACCAGCTTCTCTCCAAGTACGCTAGTTGAAGGTTGAACTCCTCCTTTTCTTGGCGGTTTGTATACTTACCAGTCGGGGTCCTTCCGTGGATGCAGAGGCAGTCTGCACAGCGGAACGGGCTGGGGGAACCACTTTAGTCCCGCTGGCGTGCAGTCCGTGGCCGCCCCCTTTAGGAGGTCATTCTTACATAACAGTATGCACGAATTGATTTTTTTCTGTGCAAAAATCAACTGTTTGCCGGCCAGACGGCGGTTTCTCTAAAGTCGCTTTCTGCGTAGGTCCGTAGCGGTGGAGTGCATGCTCTTAGGTTCCTTGCAGTGCCTCTGCATTTTTTCTAGCCTCACGGTGCCTTGCTTCTTGAGATATTGATTCCATTTTTTCTGCCTTAGGGAGTGGCTTGTTGGAGGAACTGAGATTCACACACTCCGACTGCGTCCTCAGACATGGACCCCAGTAGCCCCTTTAGGAGGCACGTATGTTCGCCTTCCATTAGGTCACCTACTGTGTGCGCAGGAATATGTGGTGGGGCCGTCCAGCGCAGAAGTCCCGTATCATACGAATGGCGACCTCTTCTGAGTTGAACTCACATGCTACTGACGGAGATATGTAAGTCTTTTGTCCTGCCTGCCCGGGTGGCAGGCAGGACAATCGTGGCAGAGGTTGCGCCAAACAAATGACAAGCAGGTGGCACCTCATTGCTGTAGCTTGAGATAGCAGGTCCATTCCGCAACGCACTTCAAGCAACTGTATGAAGTCCTTCACACAATGATGCTTGGGTATTTGAACAACCACGACACTTCTGGAGGCGGCTCCACGCGGCAGGGTTTCCCTAATTTGCTCATCGTAGTTGTGCTCATCAGCGCATGGGGGCCGGGAGCCTTTCCACAACCGCTCTGTTGGTTTTCCTAGCGGCTCTTCCGAGGTTTGCTTTGCATTCATGTTCGTTACTTTTTTTTTTTTTATCGGATGCACTGCTTACTACTCCCCAGATTCTGCGGCTGTTGCAGGATGGCAGCATTCCACGGTTTCTATGTTGAGATTTTCGGTACTATCAGAGAGCTGTTGGTAGCTGCAATACATCAAGGGCTAAGATAAGCGTCCCCTCAAAGCATCTGACTTTTCTTCGACTGTTCAGCTTTCCTGGGCACAGCAGCTAGTCGGTTTGGAACTGGTGCAGCCAGCTGGGCCAGCAGTCGCGCGATTCCTGGTGAGCGGAAACTTTTTGGCTTCTATATTCAAAGATAACCAAACTCCCGTTGCAGTATGCGCCAACGCAATTTTTAACTAATTAGTTGGCCCTGCCTGCACACAAGTAGAAATACATGCACCAGCATCTGACCGTGACTCAAGAAGGTGTTGAACATCGACGAAGAATAGTGGAATAGCAACTGACACCTTTTGGTCCGTGAAACCATGTGCTGTCACAACACAATGATACTCTAGTTAAGGCATCTGCGACTTTATGGTGAGATTTGCAGCCTTACGTTTCCTTTCGCAATCCTGGGATACTGCCACGAGTGACGTCAATTCCCCGTCTTATCCAGGGAGGGTCGTGGGCTGCAAAATAGTCGAAACTTTTAGTACTAAGACAAACCCAGGAAAAGCAGATAGACTACCCTCCTGTCTGTGTGTGAGCACAGGGTCGTTGGGCTTTTGGAGAACAGGCGCTTTGCTGATGTGCAGCCTATCCTACTGCGATTTCCCCCCCAAGGCAGCTACAAGAGCAGGTCTCCCCATTCTCAAAAGTAAAATCGTTAAGCCCTTATCTGGTTTTTGACTAGTAAACATTCACGTAAATATCGATGCATCTGCCGACCGCTGGTAGCCGTCAATACGGTGTTTCAGCATCGTACCCAGACACTGCAATCTCTCAAGGCTGTTCATCAAGCCCTCTGTATAATCAATGTTAGGTAGATGTTAGCAAACAAATGAGAATTGTACAGGAGTTCACTTTTAGCGGCATTGTACAACGTAGCAGCACAACAGGCATTCCTCCCTTAGTGCCTCAAAGCCAAAACGAATGTGTCGTGCAGATCTGCCCAAAGCTTTAGCCGGTATAGTTGAAGATATCTTTGCGTTATTTCAAACACTTTGATTTGTCTTAGATCACCGCCTTCATCGGGCCTTTTCATTATACTGAGCAGTTCTGCTGTCCAGCCCTTTGCAAGCCCGAGCCTCACACTGCTCGTACCGCAGCTGGATGTCGTCGGCATCTTACATCTATTCATTCATGGTTATCACTAACAAGCCTAATTCCTTTCAAATCTGAAACTATCACTGCATTAGGCTTCCACTTTCTCCCCATCCAACTTTTCTTCCTTTCGACAATGTCGGATCGTCATTGGGCGTGCGGGCCCTGGCCCGCGCTCAAGGCTGCAACATTTTTCGTTGCTGCAGCCTTATTAGCCCTTTCTTCACCTACTTCAGCTGATTATCTAGCCCAAACAAGCGATGTGAAGGTTCAGGAGGAGGTTTCTGGTCAGACAAAGTGGAATGTTGAACTTGAGTCCCTCCTGGGAGGCAGGTTTGAGGCGGGGCTTACGTCACTAAGAAAAGGATTGGGGGCAATCGGAATCGCCTCTGCTATAGCATCAATACTAGTCTTTTTTATCATTCTCGGACACACAGTAAGCACCACTGGGATAGCGGGCGCACTGGATCTATGCTATCAGCGACGGGCCCTTTGGCTTCAATGGTAAAAATGTCTTCTCCCTTCCATCCTATTGCCAGTGGACTGCTCAGAAGGACAGGTTTACGCAGGCCTTTCCACTGAGCTAATCCATGGGATCTTCTGCAGGCGGTGAGCAGCCGCCGTTGGTCCCCAACACCAGGCAGCGGTACCGTGCTACCGGCGTGCGCGCAAATAATACTGCCGTGACCCACCGGTGCGGCGGTTGATTTGAGGGCTAAATGGGGAAAATTCGGCTTACTGTCTAGTCGTGGGGGCATGCCGGCAGCCTCGGGCGGCAGAAGCAGTGCGGCTGCAACACTTCCGTGGTGGCACCTTCCTATGAGGCTATAGTGGAGGGCGTGTTGGAACCACGTTTCATCAGCCAGGCTCGATTACTCAGGAAGTGGGCTAAGCAGTGCCAGAACCACTAGGTTGCAAGACGTTGTTGCAGCCATTAGCCTGGCGTCACAACTGTGCTGGCCGGCTGCGTATTTGTAGTTCCACCATGCCTACCCGGGTTTCCCTCAGGCTCTGTTTAGGCACTTCCGGTTGTCTAGCGTTAGCACGCTACACAGACGGAAGATCGGTCCGAGCGGACGCGCAAAGACTTGGCAGTGACAAATGCAATGCTGCCACTGCCAAACATCGGCCAACAGTGGGACAGAGTTAGGGGCTAGAGTTGAATTTCCACTTCTAGGGACCAGGGGATCTGTTTTGTAGGCAGTGAGCGTTGCGTAGACAACTACTTTCGCTTCTTTGGCTTTGAGCGGATCTGCGTTTCGGACCCATATAACCACACTGTAGTCTCATGTTGAGTGTTGCGATGCCAAGGATAGTGTTGTGCGTATTTGTGGACGATTTGTTTTGAGCATCTCGCTTGTGTAGAGTCGATTCGATTTTGTACGTGCCTGTGACTCCTACGATTTGTGGGCGGAAGATGGTGGTTAGGTGAGCGGATGGGTCGTTTGAAAGGCTGTATGTGGCCCACAGCGAGTGGAAACCATTAGCACCACCCAACGGTTGCCTATACGCAGGGCATCGACTATACGCGACCTTGAGCGATATGGTGGATTCAAGCGCATGTGAAGACTCACATGAATGAAGCAGTCGGTGGTAGCAAGAGGAGTGAAGAACTCAAGTATATTTCCACCCCTGACAGTACTGCTTTCTTCCGCTGATTAGGGAAGAGACGCAGCACATTCGGGGATCAATTTTTTCGATGAGTCTTACGACGGAATGTGTTTTATTCCCAATTCGCTAAGACATCATTGTTGTCTTGGGTAGCCGGTGCAAGAGGGCATATGCGACACAGTTCTTCTCCACAGTGTCTTTTCTCCCAAACATGCCGAGAGCCAGAGAGCTTGAGACGGATTTCGGTTTCCATTGGCGTGTTCCACCAATTTGTGCGAATTGACAGACGAAGGGGCTGTGTAGTGGTAGCTGTGGTCGGGTTGGTAGAGGCCTTACGGGTGTTCATTCGAAGGCACATAGCTTCCTTGCCTTCAGAAAGTTCGTCGGAGATGTTGCAGCACTGAATGCTTCAAAGTTGTCTCAGCTAACTCTTGGCTGGTTGGGCGTGGCTGGTCTCCCATGGCGATCAGGGCTTTCAGAGCATTATGTTTATTGCAGGGATGAATGAATGAGCTGTATGACAGTCTACTCTCACGTTCAGCTTCGCGCTTTGTTGAGAGTCCCCGGTGCTCGCGGACAGCTAGTATGCTTGCTAGCAGCATTGTGAGAATATTTTCCAAAAAACTTGTACGGTGTCTGCAAGCGGTATAGCTGCGCTTGCAGGGAGCGGCATTATGGGGGGGTGGCTATCTGGGGAAGGCACATTCAACGCGTCATCCGGATTCATACTGGGAAGTCGGGGGATACGTGGACCACAGCAAGTAGGTATTTTATTTCGATAGCCCTACAAAGTGAGAGGGCACGAAATCTATTTTGAGGGCAGCTTCGCGTCTATAAACGGTAGTTTCGTGATGCTTACGCTTGCCGGCTAAAATGGGACTTTCTGGCATTTGAGAGGGGACGTATCTTGACGGCGGAGTCACTGTGTCAAATCTACAGGGGGTTTAGGCTGTCCTAATGGCCTCTTTTGCATCCCTTGAACATCCCTTATACTAATTCTCCAAACAAGGTCACTCCATTCTCTCGAGTAGGCAGTGGGTCGTTTGCACCGCTCCCTACACCACATGTTCGGCCTGAAGTCGGCTCACCTGAAGACAGGTGCGGCTTGAACTTACTTCATACGGTTGCGCGTAGCGTTAACCCACCAGGGCAAAGGGATGTTGCTATGCACTGCCAAGGTTGCACCGAGTGGTGGGGCCAATGCATATCCTGGCGTTTCACCAAGAAGAATGATCTGATCTGCAGATTTGATGCATCTCTCAGCACCTGATCAGGCTGAATGGGCTCTTTTGTTTTCGGACGCAGGCGAATGATGCTCACATTCTGGGTGCTCGTGCGTGAAATTCATAGAGTTACTGGTGTGGATTGGAAGAGTGTCTGCTGCCCTGGAAGCAGGGCGTAAGTTCACAGACTTGGAAAGTGTTTTGGCTGGTTTACTCTCCTGGTATTTTTGGCCAGAACTAGCTCCGGGTGTCGATTGACGCACGAGCCACTTGACAGAAAGAGCTACTTCTGGCCAACAAGGAAGCAAACGGGCGGTTCAGAGCTTGAAATGGATGGTCGGGTGGCGTTTGCATGCCGCATAGCATGTATGTCCCACTCAACGGAAGCTTCAACGTTATCTCGCTAGCACGCAAGATAAGGAAAGAATGCATCTCCTGGTGCTTCGATATGCGGCTTAGGCTTCAGTGCAGTTGCACAGTTACTGGAAGAAAGAAAAAGCAAAGGAATGGAACCCCATTCGAGCGAACCACACGGATACAGTCTAGTGATTGACTGTGGAGTATGACGCATGAAGGCTATCTTCAGCGGGTGCGTCCTTTGATATCATAACATGTGGAATGCAGGAGTCCTCATTGGCTTGTGTTTATCACCTGCATCCCCAGTGGGGATTGAGTGAAAGCATGCGTAAACCACTTGTCGCGGACGGTATTTGGCCCCCAGAAAGTCCGTCTCTAATAAGGCTCGAGCAATTCTCCGAGGGTTGCCACAGCGTGGAGGTAGGCTGAACGCTGAGACCGATACTCATAATTTGCTGTTGCCCGTGTAAGCAACGCAACTATAAAGAGGCAGCAGCCATCCAGATTTCGCTGCTCAATGTATGCCTAACGGTGAACGCCCCTCGGGGGAACCCCTGTGCAGTGTATGGCATAAATGCGTGTAGGCAGGAGGCCAAGTTCTTGAACTACGCCAGCCTTATTCCTGAGGCCTTCCTAATCGGCTCAGGCAGTACGCCCAATTAGCACTCTTTAGCCTTGTCGTTTCCAGCGGTCTCATCTCAGGGCCAACCTTTCTTAGAGCATGTAACAGCGTCCCCCACACACGGATGGGAAGCTGCTAAAGCAGTGCTGCTGGCAGCAGGATGCAAGACATACCCTAGACAAGTTGTATTGCCACTCGGCCAGTGCCAGAAAGTTTGACACTGTTTTGCCCATTTCTTTCGATTGAGCTTTTAGGTTGTATTTTCCCTACTCGAGTGTTTCGCTACATTGGCGGACAAAGCTTGTGTGTGGATGCAGTCACGCTCCTGTCACTAAGTGAAGCGGTGTATATTGGAGATATGCTTTTTGTGTAATTTTGGGTGAATCAGACCATTACTGAAACTACGAGAGCTAAGCAGACCCATGTAGTGACTTTATGGCTTCCACATGGGGATGGAGAGAAACATGGCTGAGCTTCCTGTTCTCAACAATTTGGGTAAATGCTGACACTTGCTCAACTCAGAGAGTCCGTTAATCGCAGGCTAACACGTATCAGCTAGTCATCTAATGCAGGTTCGTGGTTTTCGGTTTTGCTGGTCGAACCCAGAAAAGCTGGTGTGGCGTCCGGCTATTAGTTACTGACTACGGGGTAATCCATGGAGAAGGCGGTGCGTTGCTCTATCCATTGGTTTGCACACTACACTCGTGCGAGGCTCATATAATGCTTTTCCGACAATCCTGACGCCCCATCTGCACATCTCCCTGTCTTAATGTTGTGCAGATCCTCATGTATCCGCCTCCAGCAAGTAGGGGGCGAGTGTCACACATACCTTGCTTGAGATTTCCCCTTGCGAGCATGTTGGCCTGCATGCCCCGAATCTGATGTGTGCTGGTTCCCGCGGTTGAGCGGACAACATCATCACAACAGGCTCATCAGCGAGCATCTGCCGGTATAAATTTGGCCCTTTCTGTCAGTATGATGAGGCAGGAATTCAACTGCAGCCTGTTGCAGGTGGCTTCCGCAACGCAATTTGCTTCGGCTGTGGTGCAGTTTGTGGGTCACTGATACCATCAGCTGCTTATTCCGTTATTGCACCGGGACTGACTTCTACGATGAAGGTAGTTGGCGCTGCGTGCTATTGCAGACAGTCTGGTATAAGCTGTGCTCCAGGTTGGATTTCCGGTGTAGTTGGCCATATCTGGAATGCTTTCCCCGTGGGAGAAGTGGTTTATGCTGCTGGAACCTACGTCAGAATGGCGAGTTTGACCAGTATTTATGCGAGACGCATGCCAGAGAGGAAGGGGTTCTTCATTCCAATGAAAACAAAGAATGCAGCTTACTTTGACCACTTGTCTTTGAGCTGGTCTCTCCAGCTTTGCGTGTAGTCAACAGGAAGCAATGCGCAAGTCTTCAGAAGCCCACATCACACTGGTAGTTCTGACTTGACGGGCACTAGGTCAGGAGTAGCTCGCCTAATGCCTGCGTTGATTGTTTTCGCGTAGCGGAACCTTCCCTTGGTGTGTACGCGGCACGCCCAGTTTGGTTTGACTACCCTTTTGACATGCTCCCTCCTCGGCATTGACGAAGCCATGAATTTTCCTTGTTGGACATTCAACGGATGATTTTTGACCTTACAGAGAGTAAGTGCAACCTGCATCTAGTTAGATGTTCTATAGGGGGCAGGTGGTTCAGATGGTGGATCAGGCTGACTGCCTTAGCTGGATCATGAGATTCCTCAGTTTTCGCATTGCTGTTGTTATCAGAAAAGTAATGGTTGAGAGTAAATGAGATGCTCCTCGAGTGTTTTGCCGACCGGTGTGGTTGTTCATGGTCTGGCGTCTGTCCTACTCCTCAAACGTTATACCCTTAATCTCGTTGCTGCAGGAAGTGAGCCACTTTGCAGAGAACTACAACCATGTCTATGCGTCAGGCTGTTGGATATTATCTCCAGTTACAATGAATTCACAAGCTGAATCGTATGCGACTTAGACAAGGCACGGTGGCAGTGCCGTAAAGTTGTACCGATTTCGCTGGTCTAAAAAAATTACGGTTCCCAGAATTTCCGGGGATTGCTCGTAAATGGCCATTGCTAATCCAGAAGGTGCGGAAGCAGGAATTTGCTTTAATGTAGTCTAGTGCGGATTGCAACCGCGGCTAAACAACAGAATGCTTCAAGGCAGCAAAGATGCGATGCAGCAAAGCTGCGATGCAGCAAAGCTGCGATGGAAGTGGAAAAGAATCGATTTCCACCGCTAAAGATAGTTATGCGTTCGGTGTGGGAAGCCTAAGACAAGCTGCAAGGACATCATGCAGCTACTGGATGATGCTTGCTTCAGCTACTATGCATTTCTACTCCCTTAGATCGTGCGGTTCTACACACGTCACAAGTGTATCGCGCATTCTGCGTATGCATCTGTTTTCAGATAGAGACGGGGATACGACCATTTGCCTCATCCCAGTAAACACAATGTAGATTCACTTCTCGTATGCAACCAACGCCGAAGGTTGGATGCGGCATAAGCACAGCAAAAATATACCAGCTAGCCGCGCTGAGAGTATAAGAAGACCACGTGGCTGTTGATTGAAATACTGCCAGGCATTTCACGTGTGATGTGGATCGCCTGTCTGTGAAGATGTGAAGTTGGAAACCTCGTACCTGCTTACCAGCGAGTTCGGCTTCGCACCAGTCTGTTTCAGCAGACTACCAGGATGGCTAGTTTGGATTGCTGTTACTGGACAGAAAACCGGTTATTAGCAAGCATTGAGCAATCTAAAAGAGGTGTTGAAGCTACTGATCCTTGCTTGTCTTTAGCTTTATCAGCTTTAAACTCACCTTTTGTGAGTGTACATCAATTGGTTGTTCGTTCAAATGTATGGTCCCACTTTTTAACAGGAGGTGCGTTCCCGCGGGAACGTGCACAACCATTTAATGTGACTGTGGATCTAATGCGCTTCTTGAGCTTCTCATCTGGCATCTTGGAATTTGGGCGCTGGGAGTCGACCTGTATAAGGTCCCGGACGGCATGCCCTGCCGTTGCTGATGACAAATTTCCCCTAAGTCCTCCTTGATTGGTATGAGTTCCTGTGCATTGACTGAAGGGAAAGTCGTCAGTCGTTTCGACTGCTGCCAGAAAATCCCTAAATTATTGCAATTCGAAAGCAAACAGGAAGTGCGCGTTGATTCCAACGCAATTAGAGTGTTGCAAATACAACTTACTCCAGTGGATACGCTTTCATTTAGGCTCGAGCGCGCATGAGCACGTTACGTGACTACACCTTTGCCGCGTAGACACTGCTTTAGTCATCCAGACGACGGCCCTCAACAGTTGGGACACTCTGCGTTTTTAGAGAGTCCGTTTGCTTTTACATTGAGGCGTACCCATTAACGCCTCCGTGTAGTCTGTATTTTGAATGCCGTTTATTCTATGCAGTGCGAGACGCTCCTCAACGTTTATCGTCAACTGATACTGTCTCACGGCGTCGTCTGCAAGCCTGGGTTCATTACAGTTGCAGCACGCTTGCCCCGGGATTCGCCTACTTACTACCGGTTTATCCCACTTAATGGATGACGCAGGAAGTGAGTTTGCTAGAGATGCTTACTGTTTGGGGGAATGCATTTCAGTGCGTTTACACATCAATCTTTGGGCGAATGCGCTGTTTCGAAGCTCGTGAAGGGGGAGTAGGGCACTGTGTTTTGGACTGCGACATTGGAACAGGCGTGCATTGACGGAATGCTCTTTTTGCTTGAGTTCTTGTCCACAGTCAGTGCGTTGTGCATCTTGCTTTGGCTCAATTCGTGTCTCCACCTTTTGGCAGTTATATCATCGTTTCCCGGGATTACCACCAGGATGTGTGGCAGAGGGGCAGGCGACACAGTTGGAAGTCCTGCTTAGCTGGGCCCGGATCAGTGTTGGGCCCGGATCACCAAACTGTGCTTACAGCTTGTGAGTCGCAGGCTTGAGCATATTGCATGTTCTAGTTTGCCGTCGAAAAGGGCGAAAATGGGGGATTACCTGCGGTATTGTGGTTGGTTTTGCTGGCAGCTGACGGATAAAATAGTACCACGACTTCCGGTCCTCTACCGCAATGAACCCGGGGTCTGGTGTGGTCGCTCAAATACCCAGAACGTTAGTCTCTTGCTGCCCTGCAACGCGTTTCTAGGGGTGGGTGGCAAGACACGTCATGATGGCAACTTCGCACTGAGTCTTGCATACTCTAAATGCACCAGACTGGATACTTTCTAGTGGCTTGGTATAAAGCTGGACGTGCAGGATAGCTGGGCTTATTTGGTTGTTTTCAACGTATGATTTGGAACAGGAGGTTAGTTTTCGTTCGATACCTCGCATTGCAGTTATATATATGCCAGAACGATTTGTTTGCACCAGCCCACTGTCTTTGGAGACCCTGCGATGCATCTGCGCTCGCTTTAAGAGGCATCATCTCAATTTTAGCGAGTGGGTTTTAGTGTCAACATATGCATATTACAACTAGATTGATAACTGCCGTTGGCTGTTCGGATTGTTTACCTTCCAGTCTGTTCACAGGAGACTTTGAATAAGATTGCCGATCGCATTGTTCGGCATCAGCGACTATGTTGGCTTCCAAGGGATCAGCTCCCGCTGATCAGGTTGAGAACCGTTCAGCGCCAGCTGAAAGTGTGATGGGACGCTGATCGTGTAGCAGCGTTGCTCTGAGTCGTCAGGATATAACATAGCCGTGGGATCCACCAACGTTGTGGCCCCCTTCTTGGATATTCTTCCTCTTCGTCTTGTGTAGGTCAAGCAATTTTCGAGCAGCGCCATTTTGGGTGCTTACTCGCTGTTCATGCTTTAGGCGTACGCTGGGGAGTGGTCAACGGAAAATGTCACTAGGTCGTGCTGGCTGATGTAGCTGGTTACATTTGTAGTTCCTTCTGTCCTCGTTCTGCAAGTGTGATTGGTTGGAAGCCTGATACCTTTGAAAGACCTACTTCCAGTCCTAAGATCTGCTTCCGAATACCTGGCTATACCGTAAGCAGGACGTCCTTGAAGGATGTGCGTCCCCTTCTCTGTTCTCCTGTGTGCCCCGGAGAGTGAAATCGAGAGGGGAACATTTGCCAGGGAGGAGTGGCCATGGATCATATTACGGCCCGCTTAAATTGTTTTCTGTTTGGCTATATATGAGAGCGGCCCCTGTAGGTGAATGCAAAACAGTTAAATTAGTGAGGCTTCACAATCGGTCTGGAGAGTCTGGTTCTGAAGAAAGCAACTCAAATGAAGAGAACGCTTGTAGAGGTAGTTCCCCCACCAAGGTCCCTGAGGTGGCAGCAATCAACCGTGGGCCCCTGTAGCATTATGTGGGACAGAACGTGCGTTGCATGCGTTATACAGGTAGGGATATCTCCAAAATACACTAGATTTCATTCATGGTAGCACCTACATCTCTCTGGAGGAATTTGTCCAGAGACTGGGGGTGAGGTATTTGCTATGACCAGGAAGTGCGCCATCCTGTGGGATCATTCGTTGGTGCGGCTGTTGCGGTCTTGTTATGTTTATGCTTTTCTGACAAGAGGCTAGTTCGCGATTTCCCGCTGCAGACTGAGATCACTGCATTCAGGGATCCTCAACGTGGAGAAGCCAGGTTCCGTCAGTAGTACTTTTAAAAGCTCACTGTGCCTGGGCTGTCTCTTGGCTTGTACATGTGTTGTTGAAGGTGGTACGGTGCTAAAATGAGCGTTCATGCCCCGATTGAGGTTAGCTTTTACTTGTTAACATAGGGATTGTGCTGGTACAGGCAAGCAGAACTTCCTGCATGGAGAATAGTGTGGGGAGAGAATAAATGCAAGCCCAGAGGCAATTTGTGAGCGAGCGTGTGCCAGCTTAATACTCAATGTTGCTCCTGGAAATAGCTGCATGAGCAATTTCACGTTTCCGTTGGGCCGTTCATCGTTTGAAGAAATGCCACCACTGTCTCTTTGGACGACAAACAATTACCGCCCGCCTCATTTGCCTGAGATGGCGGCATAGAACCCTAATGACTGTAAAAGGAAACAATACTTACCCAACGGCGGCTTGCGTGCGCGCTTTGGGTAGCAGCTGAAGCACCCTGTTTCAGTCGATGACATTCACTGACCGGTAGATTTTGTTGCACAGGCAACGTGAAAGCAAAATTGTGGAACGCCTTCCTCCTAGTACTCTTCGGACATGCTATGGGATCAGGAAGTCCGTTTATCTGCTACTAGTTCGCATTTCCGTGGGTAGCGTTCGTTTATGTGAAACATCGCTAGATTGGAAAACAGCAGAAATGGCCGGCCCTGGCAAGCCTGGCTGACAGCGGGGTTTTCGGCGCCCATTCCTTCGATAATGCATGACCCTGTAGGTGCGTCACGCTTGGCATAGGAGGTGCGTGCACGGAGCGGTCCAGTATGTCAAATGGCATCACATAAACCACTAGTCAACGCGTCACATGATGTACCACAACGAATTGGAATAGGTTGGATTGGTTGCACACAGCTGGAAACGTTTGTTGCTCCTCTTACCGGGGCAGGGCATTCAAAGGAAATAACTGCTAATGGATCAAAAGCGCTTTACTTTGCGTTAGAAGGTAAGGCTGGAGGTCACGTCGTCCCAGAGCCTGGCTCTAAAAGAAACGCATTTCGCTGATGGCTGCCTACTGGGACCTCAACATCTTCGACGCTTGGCTTTGCTTAGCATCGAAAGAAGCCGAAAATATGCAGCTTACTATAATCCTTGAGCAATTCCTACCGTTGCCTTGCCTTGGTCGGTGAAGGAATTAATTGGCCACAGGAAGAAACGGAAGGCCCTTGAAGCAAGTGTTGTTATCCGCGGGTCCGGGTATGATGCAGATAGTGCGTAGGATGCTTCAGCAACCAACCAGGTTACGGCGTCAGCAACTCTGAGACGTCCAACACACAACAGATAAACTTGGAGAAGCTAATGGATGGGCTTCGACAGAGTTAGCGCAGTGGCTTAAAGGTAGTCAGGCTGAAGCTAGCTCCCTGACTGTATTATCTCTGCGAAGTCCGTCACCTGCTTTTCTCAAGAAAGTATGCAAATTATTCTTGGTTAAGCATAGTTGGCCTCCCAACTTTGTTCACTTGGGTCGTCAATGCACCCTGGGACTTGAACATTCTGAGCTACTGGTAGAGGGAGTGGCTCATTTTTTTGGCGGCGATGCTTGTGGTATTTTGTTTTTGAGCAGGCAGTATGTGGAAATAGTTTAGCCTCACCAGATGCATGTTGAATTCGCTGCAATGTGGAGCCAGATGCGAACGGTATTATCAATGCTGCTGTGAGCACATACGTGCCCAGCCAACTGACGTTTCGTCAGCAGCTTGCGGACATGGGAGAGAGACATGCTGATTGATTCCAATGCAAAGTCTCTGTCTAGCACACTGAAGTTTCTTCATGGATGTGGCGTAAATTATTTCCTTCCGCATGGCATGTGTTTCTTTCTGAGCCATTAGTGCGATCATTCAGTTCCATTTTTGTTTGTACAGTGCTGGAGTAAGAATGCCCTTTTGAACAGTGAACGCATGAATCAAGAACCAGTCACAATCCCTGTTGTTGTTAGTGCTTGCTTGCAGCTTGCTGAGGCTGCATCTTGTTCGAAGTCTCTGAGTTGTGTTCCAGAAAATGGAACGCTGACGCGCATACCTGTTGTCATGTTTATAGCTTCCGCAGCTTGCAGTGGACGTATGAGGCATCCTACCTCCCATCTTCTTCGCTCGACTTTTGCATGGCGGAGAAGCGTTGTAGATCCTCCAGCTTGATTTTACTGCTAATAACGTGCAAAATAGTGACTTCATACTAGATGCATCTTGTGTGTAGTACCGAATGTAGTAGGCCCATCTCAACAGATTAGCAGCCATGCGCAGTAATTGCCAGTCGTTGGTCTGCCGCATTGTGACTGTGATGCTGTTGCCACGGGTGTTGCATCAAAGCCGGCGTCCGTGCGAAGGTATAGCTGTGCACTCCATGGGCTCCGCTACACGTGATGTGCGTCCTGCCGCTGAACGTAGGTCGGCTTAGCATGCCGGCAGTCTGCCGGAGTAGGCTAATATCAGTGAACTTGGCCCACTCCGGCATACAGTGGGCCTGAAGACAGCTCCGTTTCTTGGACAAGAATAATGGGGGCTAGATCTAGTTATGTTCAATATCAACTGGTGACAATCCAGTGAAACTTGTTCTCTGCTTAGGACTGTGCGATGCTGATCCACAGGCCCTACCATTGGTTAGCTTGAAAACATTATTTGCCGCATGCTGAGCAGCAAACACTGTATTTGGATATGAACATTTCAGGTTAACGGTTAATGAGTTCCCTTCCAACCCTTTCCCCCCTGGCACCCCTTTTCCCCCCACTCCACGTGCGGATATTGAAGCACTAGGTGGCCCATTTGCCAGATGGTATGTTTCGCGTTTTAAATACTTCCAGTGCACGTCATGTGGCACATGTGCGGAGGCATCAGCCTCTTCTCTGGTGGCCAGTGGTGGATGATCCTGAGGTTTCGACGCTTCCACTGCAACTGGTGCTGCACAGAACACGATGCAGCAACATATATTGGGAGTATTGGGGGCTTGGGAGGCTACGTTCGCTGCCCAGTGCGTGTTGTTTTGTACAGAAAGTAGGCTCTCAAATTAAACTAGCCAGATGAGCATGAAATTGGTGCTGGCATGGCACGCTTGCGTCTGCGAAGCTTATCTGCAGTCCGGCTGTGCATTCCGCCTCAATGTGTGGAGCGCTCACTTGTGTGGTGAGTTCTTTGACAGCCTATGATGAAGGTGATTCTGATGAAGGTGATTCTATGGTGTTGTCATGTCTCCCTTAGCACCTGGTGCTGCACAAAATATCAAGCATCGCCTTTTATTGGGAGTGTTTGGGGCTTGGGGGCTACCTTCGCTGCCCAGTGCACGTTGCTGTGTACAGGAAGTAGGCTTCCAAATTTAACCAGCCATATGAGCATGAAATTGTAGCTGACATGGTACATTTGCGCATGCGAAAGTTATCTGCAGTCCGGCTGTCCATTCCACTGAAATTTGTGGATGCAGCGCCTCTTATTGAGTGTACTTGTTGCTAGGTACTGCCGCTGCCCAGTGCGTGATGCTGTGCACAGAAAGTAGGCTCTGAAGTTTAACCAGCCATACGGGCATATGGTCGTAGCTGGCATGGCAAATATGCGTCTGCGAAATTTACCTGCAGTCCGCCTGTGCATTCCACCGAAATATGTGGAGTGCCCACTTGCTCGATGTCAGTGGCCCCGTCCATTACACGATAAATAGAACAGGAGGAAAGAAAGGTGCCTCACATAGTCGGGGTATGCGCCGTTTAAGCGTCTGTCTTCGCTGGGGTGTTAAGTCTTTCCCGAAAGAGCAGTAGACCTCACTCTGGTACAGCTCTCGATTGAAGCTGCCCCTTGAACGTCTTTGAAATATTCATTTCTGATGTTTCAATGGCTTTTCGGTCCATTGGTTTAGGTTATGGGATGGGTCGGGAACGCTTGCACTGCAGTCCTTTGTCTGCAGTTGTGGATGTGTTTGCATAAGAAGCAGGCCGTTTGTGCAAGCTGATAACTTATTGCACAAGAACGCGCCTGAAGTGTGGTGCATTCATATATAATTGCGCTGCGTGTGGATTTGGTTCGTTGCGTTGGTTGTCTACAAGGCCACTCGTCAAGGTTTAAACGGTGACTGACCATCCTAATTGTAAGTAACAATGGTAGCATGGTTCCATTACCTCTAGTCCGTCGGACCCTTCTGATAAATCGACTCATCCACGTCACGCATTTACCCCATGCATAACTAGT